AGAATAGAATAGAATAGAATAGAATAGAATAGAATAGAATAGAATAGAATAGAATAGAATAGAATAGAATAGAATAGAATAGAATAGAATAGAATAGAATAGAATAGAATAGAATAGAATAGAATAGAATAGAATAGAATAGAATAGAATAGAATAGAATAGAATAGAATAGAATAGAATAGAATAGAATAGAATAGAATAGAATAGAATAGAATAGAATAGAATAGAATAGAATAGAATAGAAGTAGAGTACAGTAGAGTAGAGTAGTTCCATTTGGAAGGGACCTACAACCATCACCTAGCCCAACTGCCTGACCACTTCAGCATAGACCAAAAGTTAAAGCATGCTATTAAGGGCATTATCCAGATGCTTCTTAAACACTGAGAAGCTTGGGGCATTGACCACCTCTCCAGGCAGCCTGTTCCAGTGTTTGACCACCCTCTCAGTAAAGAAATGCTTCCTAATGTCAAGTCTGAACCTCCCCTGATGCAGATTTGAACCATTCCCATGCATCCTGTGACTGGATACCAGGCAGAAGAGATCAGCACCTCCCTCTCCACATCCCCTCCTCAGGAATCTGCAGAGAGCAATGAGGTCACCCCTCAGCCTCCTTTTCTCCAAACAAGAAAAACCCAGTGTCCTCAGCCACTCCTCCTAGGAGCAGTATGTCATTGGAGATCTCATTTCAGCTGGACAGGGTGCTGGTTCATCTTGTCTAGACTGTGCTTTTGCCAAGAAGGGTTGGACCAGATGATCCTTGAGGTCCCTTCCAACTTGGTATTCTATGATTCTACAATTCTATGATTCATCAACAAAGACCTATTTACATCACGCTAATGTAGACATTTAGGGTCTTATTCAGTTAACCGAAGATAGATGTCTGGTGCCACTTAAGATGGCATAAGGTATCCAGTCTGGTCTCCATGTAGTTCTTCAAAAGGTCTCCCATTTGTGCTGTGTCATCTCCTGCAGCTCCATGTCGATGTGGTTCTGCTAGGGTGCGTCCAGTGATACCAAATGCCTAAGCTCAGGAAGTCTGTTCTAGTTCCCAGTGCACATGTAGCCCCCTACATACAGAGACCCAAGCTCAGGTGTCTGAATTTGGAGGTCATCTCACCTAAGTGCATGCATCTATCTGGTGAAGAGTTCATGTGCCACTATCCTGGATATATGACAGAGTATATGCTCTGGCCCCTTGTCTAAGGTGTTCACTGCAGAAATAGTGGAAGCTCTGTCATATCTAGTTTTCTCAGGTCAGTTTACAGTCCATTCCCCTAACAATGTTGTCATCCAAGCTGTTGGAGAAGATGCCATCCTGCCTTGCTACATCTCTGCCCCTAACATCCCTGTCAGCCTCACTGTCCAATCCATCCTTCTTAGAGCTCTGAAGAGAAGAGAAATTATTTCCTTCAATGGAAGAAGTGAGGTGGAAAGGCAAGAAGAGCTGTAAGGGTTGAACTGCGTTTTTCACGTGCTGGGTGAGGAGGGAAAACCTCTCCCTGAAGCTTAGGAACATCCAAATCTCTGACAAAGGGAAACACACCTGCAAGGTTCCCTATTCCATTTGGTACAGGGAGACCTACATGGAACTGGATGTGACAGGTCACTGCCTGGGTATCATCGCTTGTAAGAAAGATGAAAGTAGTCTCTCCATGCAATGATAAGGTGAATTCCAGACAGATCTTTTATCTTTCAAGATGCCCTTTTTCATCCAACAGGGATGGGAAAATGGGTTGACTGGAACATTAGTTTAGGCAGTAGGCTGAGGGGCCATGGGAAATGCAACCAGATTTTGAAAAGTGATCAAACAAATGTGATAAAGAAAATACTCCAGGTAGGATGGTTGGGCAGCTAAGCTAGGAACCAAGTTATCCCTAGCTGCTTGTATCTCCTTCTTAGGAGTGCACGCAGAAAAGAATATACTGAAAGAATAATTTGTTCCCTCGGAAGGGTAAAGCCAAATGGACATCAGCACCCAGATGAGCTGTGCAGTGGGGGATTCATCTGATATTTAACTACAATTTCACACTTTATGATCAGTGGACATGCAACCAATAAATTCAGCAGAGACAAAGAAGGATTTCTTCTATCCTAAACAAGGGTGAGATTTGGCTACAGCTACTACATCTAAATTTAAGCAGTGTCCAGGCTCCCATGGCAGCTGACAGAAATCTAGTTGATACAGAGAGCTGAGCCTCAACTCCTGTTCAGAGCACATCTAAGAGTCATTTCAGCTGCCCATAGATAAAGGTCTACCTCTAAGGACACTTCAGGTGTTCTATGCGATGAAGACTTATTCAGTAAAAGTGTAAGCACTTTTATGGAGCCTATCAAGCCCAGCGTCATAGTTTCCAGCCCCTGAATAAGTCTGCATCGCATAAAACACCTGAAGTGGCCACTGAATCCTGATCTCCTAAGCGTATAAATATATTTTCTCTGTGTCGTGACACCTTCATACAGAAGCCTTTGAGATCTCCTGTTACTTAGAATCATAGAATCATAGATTATCCTGAGTTGGAAGGGACCCACAAGGATCAACGAGTCCAACTCCTGTGCCTGCATAGGACAACCCCAAAAATCACACCATATGTCTGAGGGCATTGTCCAATTGCTTCTTGAATGTTGTCAGGCTTGGCGCCATGACTGCCTCCCGGGGGAGCTTGTTCCAATGCTCCACTAGCCTTTGGGTGAAGAACCTGTTCCTAATGTCTAACCTAAACCTCCCCTGGCAGATCATCCTGCCGTTCCCTTGGGTCTTATCATTGGTCATTAGGGAGAAGACATCAGCGCCTGCCCCTCCTCCTTCCCTCGTGAGGAAGCTGTAGACTGCGATGAGGCCTCCCCTCAGTCTCCTCTTCTCCAGGCTGAACAGACCAAGCAACTTCAGCCGCTCCTTGTACGGCTTCCCCTCTAAACCCTTTACCATCTTCGTGGCTCTCCTCTGGACACTCTCTAGTAGCTTTGTATCCTTTTTGTACTGTGGCACACAGCACTCAAGATGAGGCTGCACCAGTGCAGAGTAGAGCGGGACAATCCCCTCCCTCGACCTGCTGGCAATACAGTGCTTGATGCACCCCAGGACACAGTTGGCTTCCAGTTACTTGAGTAACTGGAACAGATATTCTCTTGCCCTGCCTGTCCTTCACTAATTTTACTGGAAAATCTGTAGTGCAGTGGAATTTGCTTCACTTTTCAGAATTAATCCACAAGGTTTTCTGTAATGGGAGAGCCAAGTCAGAAATAAGAGGTAGGAGGTATAAGGGCCAAACAGAACTGTCTTCTTTTGAACTAAATCACAGGAACTTTTCTCTAG